ATTTCTTTCAGTAAAATTTTAAGGATTGAAAATGAAACTGAATCTAAAAAGCCCCATAGGAAATTTTATAAGTAAGTAAGTTGTGTATGATCAACAGATTAACATAACAATGTGCACTTCACAGTGAATTTTCTTGATAAGATGTTCTTCAAACCTTATTTAAATAGGACTTTTTTCGCGGAAGGATAATTGTGAATACACCAATTACATATTACGACGCACACGTTAACAACTCGCGTATCCATGGGTAGTAACAATAGCACCTATAACATGACGTAGGATCAATTTCAATATACAGTTTTAAGTGCTGTTTACATGCTAAAGTAGTCTAGTCGTATGATCGAAACCTTATTTGACATTAATTCAAATAAATCTCAACAATATAAAATTATCTGGGATCCCTTTAATATTAATGCTACTATTGTTAATTCACCAATTGAAAAATACACTTCCTTCCTAATCTCTATTTATTACATTTTTACCAAGTATCCACTTGATGACAACTTGTATCCTTACTGCACTATTAAGTAATACGAAGATATAAATATCACAATAAAGTGATGTAAAAACTTTAAAACAAAACCCACTAGTGTAACATTCATCAATTGGACTGAGGATCGTCATGTGTTATGTAACATTCCATACCAATAAAGTCACGTGAACTAACACGAGAGTCTAAGAAATCTGGAGCAAGAACATAGCCACAACATAATCTGTAGTGGAGACATACAGGTTGTCATGCTGAAATATATAACACTATTTAGATGAAATGATGTAGAATGGATCGTCAGCTGTATCATTTCTACTGCTGTCCCGTATTACAAGTATATACATTTTGTAATAGCATATCTACGGAAAATAGGCAAAAAGATGTTAACGAATACGGTTTATCTTATTGGCAATTTTAATGAGGTTTTAACTTTAAATGTAATCTATCTAAGCTGGTTCTAGTTAAGTTGATTACGTGTAAGTTACAGTGCTCCAAATAACAAGTGTCCCAGCCTTTCTCCTGACACAATCGATTCGAGATTGTGACCTGGTTACTCTTATGTAGATCATTATTCATCGTTTATGAATGACACAATTTGTAACTATGAAAACGCATTATAATCTCCGGTTACAGAACAAATGATAATTTCATAAATATGCCTGAGAAAATGAAATGTGGCCTGCGTTTGTCCATACAAAGACATGGTTTTATCTTTCTTTTAAATTTGAGGTTCGCTAACAGGTTTTTCACATAAGGGCTTACTTTCTTCGTATTGGTAATGATCCTTTATCTGTTGGTATAGTAGGGGCCGCGGTGGCCAAGTGGTTCAGGCGTCTGAAATTCTGCTACCACTAGCCCTCCAACACTGGGTCGCGGGTTCGGGGCCTACATGGGGTAGTTGCCAGGTACATGCACTGGCCGTAGGTCGGTGGTTTTTCTCCGGGAACTCAGGATTTCCTCCACCACCAAACCTGGCACGTCCTTAAATGACCATAGCTGTTAATAGGACGTAAAATACAAACAGACAAACTCACACGGTTTATGCATCATCATCTATATGCCTCCTACTGGTAGCATGATAAAGTCATTATCACTGGTTGCCAGTATGAGAATACTGAAGAAGAAGATTCGAACGACTCGAGAACAACTTGAGAATATTTTGTTTTCTATTAGGGAATATGTTTTCTTAAAAAGGAACGTCTGTTAGGGCAACATGGTTCCTCGAACAGGATTAAGTATCGACACAAAGGATTCCAGAGTAAGAAAATAAAAAATAACACCTTTTCAGCGTTATTATGCACATTACATTGGGAAGCCAATGAAGATGATATAATTTTTAAAATACCTTTCTACATAGTTTAAATGTTCATTTTATTCCTCTGCCCAAATATTTGTTTACATTTGTCAAAGACTGAGGGTATCGATGATCACTAAGCCTAGAGTTCAGTTCGAAGACATTGGATTTAGTTGACTTTTTAGGAATCGAGAAATAAGCAGTGTCCTGTTGATTTATCCACGTGCTCGCGATGACGATGTTTTCACGACAGACCCTTAAAAAACACAGTTGTGATGATATATAATTACGTATAAAAAGATGACCGTAACTTTACCGACCTGATTTCCAATAGTGCGGTCTATATAATAATTAAGACTTATCGTTTATGTCCTGATCGATACAGGTTTAAAACACTGTATTGGAGACATAACGACTGATATTGTGGTTAGGGAAATCTTACCCTGCTCAAGCATCCGTGTAAAAGTTGATCATATCTCCGTTAATATAGTTTCTGATAACACTTCAGTTTATGACGGAACTCTGACGTATTACGCTCCACATATTGTGATGTATTGGTAATATTTAAAACAACTGATGACGATTGGCGAAAACATATCATGTGGTCCAAATATCAAACTTAACATTGTAGCAAGGTTTGTTATTTCTGTGAACATGTTAATGGAGCAGGTATAGAAGTAATGTATTGTGGTTTGACGTTGATGTTGGTGTTAACATGTAAGTATATATATAATTGTTTATGAAATATCTGACTGAATTCTTTTTAACAATAGTTAAAACATAAACCAAGTTGAGTCTTACACATTTACATAAACTTATTTTCATCGATTTGTTTTTATTTACGCATGTTTAACCTTTGGAACGATTACTGTACCTGACATTTTGACCTTGAAACACAAATTACTTAGGGAGACAATCTCATTAATAATATATACATATGATATTACATATTTTATTTTATTCAGATCATTTCTATTATTTTACTTAACCACACGTCTTTAAAATGAATTTGGTACTATGATTAGCCGTTAATATAATATACATTTTATATAACATATCATATTTCATTCAAATCTTGTACTCCACGTCTTCAAGATGAACATTTTACAATAATTTGCCGTTAATATTGTTTATATTTTATATTACATATTATCTTTTATTCAGATCTTTTCTATTATTTCACCTGACCCAACGTCTTCAAGATGAATGTTTTACAATGATTAGCCTTTGGTTACAAGCTTACCAAGGAGAAATGCGATAAAAGCAGCATATTTTTAACTACATGTAATATCTTATAATTTTGTTTATCTGTCTCATGCTGTAGTTTTGTTGAATAGTGACTGTTTATCTTTGCTATCTGCTGTGATATTTATGTTGTAGTATTGTTTAATAGAGACTGTTGATATTTATGTAAATGTACATGTTTCTGTCTTGTAAAAGGGGCGAATTGATCGCCATCAACATTTGACAAATCGGCTGAACAACCCCAAGATGGGCGAAAGCGCTAGCGAATTATAGTCTTCGTGTTTTGCTTTTTATATAATTTTACTGTCTAATGGACATTTAAAACTATTTATCGCTATTTTATAATAAATATAAATAAATCATGTATTCAATTTTTTTATAAATCCTGAATGGAAAACATTACTCATTCCTGTTTTCGTTACATGTGCCTGGATGTTAATGTGTGCGATGTTTGAAATAGCTAGTGATATCCCTTACTTATTCACACGGAAATGAATTTATCGTCCTTTGTGACTGTTTAGAATGAGACGCGGTATAAAAACTAACTCTTTGCTAACGTCACAAACATAATGTTTACACAAAAGTTAGGAACCCGACATCACTGTACTAATTATACGGCTGTGTAATTGTAATATCTGTGCAGTTTTGCTGCATATCAAATAATATAAAACCAGAAAAGTAAGCCTTTAGATACAACACATTAGCCTTTAGATACAACACATTAGCCTTTAGATACAACACATTAGCCTTTAGATACAACACATTAGCCTTTAGATACAACACATTAGCCTTTAGATACAACACATTAGCCTTTAGATACAACACATTAGCCTTTAGATACAACACATTAGCCTTTAGATACAACACATTAGCCTTTAGATACAACACATTAGCCTTTAGATACAACACATTAGCCTTTAGATACAACACATTAGCCTTTAGATACAACACATTAGCCTTTAGATACAACACATTAGCCTTTAGATACAACACATTAGCCTTTAGATACAACACATTAGCCTTTAGATACAACACATTAGCCTTTAGATACAACACATTAGCCTTTAGATACAACACATTAGCCTTTAGATACAACACATTAGCCTTTAGATACAACACATTAGCCTTTAGATACAACACATTAGCCTTTAGATACAACACATTAGCCTTTAGATACAACACATTAGCCTTTAGATACAACACATTAGCCTTTAGATACAACACATTAGCCTTTAGATACAACACATTAGCCTTTAGATACAACACATTAGCCTTTAGATACAACACATTAGCCTTTAGATACAACACATTAGCCTTTAGATACAACACATTAGCCTTTAGATACAACACATAAGCCTTTAGATACAACACATTAGTCTTTAGATACAACACATTAACCTTTAGATACAACACATTAGCCTTTAGATACAACACATTAGCCTTTAGATACAACACATTTGCCTTTAGATACAACACAGTAGCCTTTAGATACAACTTATTAGCCTTTAGTTACAACACATAAGCCTTAGATACAACACATTAGACTTTTGATACAACACATAAGCCTTCAGATACAACACATTAGCGTTTAGATCCAACACATTAGCCTTTAGATACAACACATTAGCCTTTAGATACAACTCATTAGCCTTTAGATACAACACATAAGCCTTTAGATACAACACATTAGCCTTTAGATACAACACATTAGCCTTTAGATACAACACATAAGCCTTTCAAAAGTGTTACAACTATGTTCCCGGAAGTATTACTTAATACAAAATCCGATACTGAGCGTTCAACTTAATGTTCAGTACTACATAATGTGTTTTGGTATAAATACGTCGTTTTCGTCGGCAAAGTTAACGAATTGTCGTAAGGGAACTGTTATTAGCAAAGTTACAAGATCTGTTCTATGGCTTAATACATGTACCTGGGTAACAAAAAAATCAACACACGAAATATTTTGGAATGTTTTAATATTGTAGATTTCCAATTTTTTGGATTGCAAACAATGTATTTTAACATATTTGTTCGCTGTTGAAATATATTACCTAGCAAGAGACAGTTGATAATTAAACAAAAAACGTTTCAAATAAGTCATATAAAAATCCTCACCCATACCATACATATACAATAACCAATCACCATTCTGCCTCATATTTCATATACATTTCCATCAAGAGAAAGACTGAATTCAGCTTATCATTTTGTGTGAAAATAACACCCATAATGTGTTACCCCAGTAATAACGGTGCCTACAACACAGCATTAACTCATAAACCGAATATTCCCATTATATTTATCAAAGCTGGGAGGTACATTTCATCCTCAAAAGTCCAGCAGTTACGCTCACTTATGTTCTCTGCCTCCTAGAACATGTCATGACAAAGTCAAAGGCATTGTATCCGACACTCTGTGGATTGTTACACAAGTAGATTGGTTTGATAATGTGATGTACACCGAATCACGCGGTAGAGAAATAACGATGACCGACTTTGAAAATGGAAAAAATTGGGGGTCGCTCCTGCTAAACAATTGGTTCTTCTTGTTTACTTTAAACAAATCAAATAGCTTCACACATTCCAGGGTTGCAGAGAACGTAAATGTGCGTAACACCATGACATTTTGAGGATGGGTAAATTTGCACATGTAATGTTAACATAATTCTTTCGCATTTTAATTGTTAATAAGTCGATTTTCAAACGAAACTTTCAAATATGTTTTAACCTGCAAATAAAAACCTTCTGTCGAAATATTCTAGTTTGTTCCTTTCCATTCTCTGCATTTTCTCAGCAACAATTACATAAGGACCGACTTGCCAATTGAAGCCATGCATGCTTTCTCCTTTACACGGATTTGGATTGAATATGAAGTTCTAGTATTGCAGAATTACTCCGAGTTGTCTAATATTAAATACATTAAGATCAGAGTTATTCCCCTTGGAACACCTGATATGACATTTAACCTGAGACAAAATAGACTTGCTTTTGTTCAACTTGAACTTTACATTAATTATTTCTATCAACAATCAGAGTATCAGTATGACCACCACTTCACCGAAAATTTCATATTGTAAAAATAGGGATGATATTGCTTCACGACAAACGAATGGTTTAATTTATAACCTGTTAGATAACAAATAGAAATTATTACTTAATTTATCCCAAAAATTCAATACATGCAGGAGTCACTAAATTTAAATTGCACTATTTAGATTGGGATATCGTATTTCGTACAATAATGAAATCATGCATACTTTCTGTGCTCACTAAATAAATCCGTTCATTGGTAACATAGCACTTGTATACAAGAACCACTCTATCTTATTCATACAAACAACGACTCATCTGCTTTTGATCCTTCTCCCATAGAATTGTCCCACGTTTACAACATCCCTCTACACTGGCCTTGTTACAACAAAACATTTATGTTAATAAATAAATCTATTTACAGTAGCAGTAATAAGTTAATGAATTCGACCATTAAGTACAGTAACAAAACTATGGCTATCTTTCCTTCATACACTCTCTTACATTTTGGACCACATGACGTAGACTATTTACGTTTGATTCGTTCAGAAATCAAAGTAAGTAATCAATTAAACACAATCGTCTCCCCTTTGTTTTGGATTATCAACAATTTTCACTATGTTAGAGACCGTATGTCCCATCTAGGGATACCTAGCGTATAATAATAGCAATTTTCGATAATCCTAGTGGAAAACTTAATGTTAAACAAAATGAATGCAATAAAAAAAATGAAATGAAAGACTTTGGTAAACTGATGACAAAAATTAAGCATGATTTGTTATTTTATTTCGAGTTGAATAAATAACTTGATGAGTGATGTAGGGATTTAATTGGAAGTGCCGTTTGAATAGCTCGTGTACTCTATCTTTACTTTTTTGGGAACGGAAATATTGTATATAAACCATTCACTGGTTTTAGCTTCTCTCAAAGGGTTCGGCAAGATTTCAAATATTTAGGATTTTGTTAATATTTATAGTAGAATTTCGTTTCTTTTAACAACATGTTCTTTATTTATAAAATAGTTTAGCTAGTTCACGAGAAAATTCATCAGAAATCTTATACACGTGAACATTAATATTCTATTGATGACTGTGGAATCAGGTAATTTCGTAGGGCCAACATTTTGTAGTTTCCAAACAGCTTTTTGTGGATACATGAATTGGTGGATAACGAGTATCAACTCTAACGGAGAATTGCATTAGGTCACATTTGAATTATTTCTTTGACCTGGGAATTCGTGGATGAAGATCAACCCACAAAATCAACGAAATTAAAAACCTCACAAAAATAGTGATTTCACAGTAGCATTACTGCACAGAACATAAAGATCCTTCAAGCTGAACCATGATGTGCAATGTTAAAAATCTGCGATATGCACGTGCAAAAGATCCCCCACGGAAAACATTTTAATAGGCTTTTGATGATGCTAAATCTTCAGGAAATAAAGATATTTATTTTAGCTAGTCTGTAAATTCCAGATTGACTTTAACCTAGATGCTAAAGAAAAGTATATATGTAAACTGTATAAATGAATTATTATTTTCCGTGGTTTTATAAAATATAGATATGAGTAACTATTGCACATGTGGAGTAACCGGGTTTGATATTTATTTAGGAGTAACATCAGAGCGAGAAGTCAGCTACTTATTGAAACATTATGAATATACATAATATCGTTATTTAAATTATTTTCGTAGGAAAATGTTATCATCAAACATAATATGCTAATTATATTAAGTTCAATTAATTAATGTTCAACGTATAAAATCAAATAATATCAAACATAATTTATAAAAAAACATATTCAAACAAATAATTTGTGTGTCATTTAAACCCATGTTCGAATAATTATCAAGTTAGACATAAATTAAAGCATTATCAATTATCAACATAAAACGTAGTAACACACTTGGAGACATAAGATGAGTATTTTGTCATACGGTGGTGCTTCACAGTTTGTAACTGACAAATGTTTCTGCTGTAATATGTTATCCTGGCGGTGTTAATGCATCGTGGCAGAATTAAATGGATGCTAAAGGCCTTGTCAAGAGGCAATCAAGTATCATTATTGACAGACATTTTTGGTCTTCTTCACCTTTGAAAGAGTACTTTAAAATATACCAAAATGCAATACAATGCTTGCACGAAACCTGTAGAATTTGTCACGATATCTCTTTCAAATTGTTTCCCATTCCAACTATCAAGCCGAGATAGTTGAACATGTTTTGCTTTTGGCTTTAACATACAGAAAACACGTGCATAAGTGTTATCATCACTTAAGTGGATCCCAGGACGAATTCCCCCAAAACTAGGTCGTAGTGTGACATCACTTATGATTATGCACGTGCAGTACACTGCGTCACTTCCGTACGTCGATTTACGCACTAATCGCCATTTGAATTGGACGGACCGGATTGATAGCCTTCCCTGTGTCGTCATCAATCCTTCAAAACGTGACGTCATCAATACCCTAAATTGTTGCGTCAACGCCGTTTCGGACACTGCCTTGGTTTTATACATTTATTATTATGTAGAAGTCTGTTTCCTGGACAAGCACACCCAGGGGAACACTTTGTTTTACATAATGCTTTCTGGTCCCGTTCTTCGCACGTGCGCATGCATCGTTTTGTGCACTGCCGATATATAGCACCCTCGGGGCAGTGTTCTGAAAAATAACATACATAAATATCAATTTATTCCTGTAAAATACAATACCTAGAACAACGAGGGATACAGCATATTTTCAAAACTTTCGTATGCCGATGCAGAAGGCCATACACTTTTTTTCTGAACCATAGGGCCATTTCGTCCGACAAAATAAGAGTAAAGGAAACACTTTGATGATGATTTTTACAATATATATTAAAATATATATATATATATATATATTAGCAACAATCTGTCGAATAAATGGTTAATTTGGTACGCCGTTCTGCCTTGCTATTCACTATATTGCTGTTTTGTCAAATCTTAAATTTTGACCATGACATTTGACGCGCAGTGTGATTTTTTTTTGCTATTTTAGTTGATACATATGCATCTAAAATATATGACACATTTCATTAACACCAAACATGTCAGATTCTAAAAAGCGGTCTTGGACGGGGGATGGGGTCAATGGATTAGAGGATACAGACAATTGACGATTTTACTGCTCTAATCTGTGTGTTTCAAAACGTCAAATAACCCTAAAAGATAATACAACATTGATAATGATACCTTACCTGGACAGAATCGCTGATCATTCCACGTTAATTCTACTCCTTCGTTGATACACCTGTGTGCGTATGCTTTCACAGCCTCACATGCGCATTGTTTGTCATCCGGGCACTCACACATATCAGCTATACATGACCTGTAATATACGAATTACCATATATACTTATATAATAAATGCGACGGTAGTAACATGACAACAGTTATTCCATTTAGCGACACATATTGCTATGTAAACTAATTCTGTTTAAAACTAATACGTACAAGTTACAGCAAAACACATACTAAACGATCAGGCGTATTGTAAACTCATTTTCATAACATTATTCTACAACGATAAATAAACCACAACATTGATACGAAACACATCAAATCTTATTGGAAGGACGTTCTGAACGCCGACAAAAATTGATGTTCTTGAGGCACCGCAGAGTACGCGACGTGGCGAATTAGTTGAATATTAGTTATATTATTTCATTAAATCTGAACCGTTACTTAATTAACTCATTCACCCCTGAAGACACATTTGAACTTTTCAAATTCAACGGCTGGAATAGTTCATCATAAAATTTCAGTTGTGAACCAGTTAAGCAGCTATAAAAGTGTATAAGGGGAGGGAACTCTCACTAAACACGATAGCACAGTCGTATGATTATCGTTTTATCAGTTATAATAAGTTGTCTTTTTGTTAATAGCTTCACATTTTTCAAATTTCCTTCATTTTGCATTAGAGAAATACACACACAAAAATCAGTAAAGATATCATTCACAATTGGGGAATAATTGACTTATGAGTTAATCTGCTGCATACAATAACCTTTGCTTCTATGACTTACTATCGAATCGAAATACTTCCATTCCAGGCATGTGTTTAATGGAAAATTAAGATTACAAATAGATGTGAGAGTAATAACGTCTGATCTGGTAGTGTTTTCTGATACATCCTATGTCGGTTCCCCCATACTTTGTTTATGTAGGTTTAAATTTAATTGTAATAGAAACTATCAGATATAAACACCATGATTCACTATTATATCTTCATGTCACTAATATATCAAGCCCAAGATTTATATAACAATGATTGGTGTTCTTTGTGTATTCTCTCAAATAAGTCTTTACACAGAACAAGTTATCTATTAAGATTGTAAAATCAAACTTGTCATTGAAACATAAAACACATTATTGTAACTAACAAGACGATGTCGTTTCCATGAATGACCTCAAGTAAAGTGCATTTGTCATATACCTGTATTTCTAAATAAAAGAGCTCTCTGGCAAAGGGAGGTTATCCATGAGATAGTCGTCCTAAATAAGACATCCAAATCACTAAAGGTATGTCGGCCAAAGTCGGGGAATGAACGGAATTTCATTGAATGTACTCTTGTTAGGAGATGTTAAGGTCACCATTACAGGTGGGCGTGATATGTTATTGTGACTGGTTTCTGACTCGCTCCACCAATACATATAGGTATCATCAATTGTCGATTTAACGTGCTAGCTTCGCACGCTTAATTAACACCGTGTATTTCTTTCTTATCCCCTTTTTATTTTACATATTACAAATACGTATGTATTTTTTGGCTCCTGCCTAAAGGAAATTTCACCATCATTATTCAAGGGTAACATCACACCTAATAAGTGAAAAGCAATACACTATCTTAGACCTACGTGCTTTTGTCGATCCCCTTACTACTTTGCATAAATAGTTGAGAAATATTTCCATCTGTGCATTAAAGGAGGCTCCCCTGCTGACGAAATTGTAAATGTATGTGACGGTAGTGCTCAGCTTATACACCACTGACTGATCTACATGTGTTGTAAATCGATAGACGGATTGGTGTAAGGATATACTTCATATAACACCATAAGGTGTTTCTAATTCAATATTAACAAAAAGTCATACCTAGAGTAGAACGTGCTCATGAGAGATTTTAAAACCACGGGATACGTTATGTGTATTTGTTACATATTAACCGACATGTACTATTGGTTTATGAACTTCCTCGGGAAGATACTAAATCAGCATAAAAATATATTAGTGAGATGTTTTTAGTGGGGCATGTTCACTATCAACCATGAAGTAAATGAGTATGAACAAATTAGTATAGAAATATAGAAATTAATTTTAGAATCAATTTGATTATTATTGTTGGAGGAATGTTACAGGGTGTTCCCCTTTCACAACCTTTATTCCAATTAAGTAGTTTTGTATAATTGTACACATTTTGAAATTATTTTAAAGTTATATACGTTTAACAGCCCACAATCAAGGTTGTCAAATTACTGAACCCGTGTTTATCTTGAATCAGTTGAATATATATTTTCATATAAGCTGAATATAATTAAGAAAATATTTTGTGCCATACAGTGAAAGATACGACGTAATGATATCAGTGGTCAGATGATCAACGTCTGATAAACTACGACAGACCATGCAACATTATACGCTAGTATATTTTAAAAAAGACATTGAAATTCAAAACAAAAGTTGAATGTATAAGTATTCAGTATAATCGTTTTATGACAACACACACAGACAATATATTAAACTTTCAGATAGTTTTTAAAAATCCCGTTTGAACGTTTTTGTTAAAGACTCGTTAAGCTGACTATGCTTTGAACAACCGGACCCACGGCAATGCCGTGCAAAGCCTTGTTAACTTACATGGAAAATAAATACATTATTTGCGTTTAGTCTGTTTTCAAATATAATATTGCTCTCATTGAAAACTACATGAAAAAGGCATTCAAAATATTTACAATTCAACAAAGTCGTACTACACGTTGAGTTGTAAATTGTTCGATAAAAAAAAAAGTAATATTGAACAGTTCTGATCTAATGGAGTAAATGGAGTTTTTACTGTTGATGTAACACATATTTAATTTAACACAATCAGTAAAACAGTATTCAGGTTATGTAACCACAGACAGATGAACGTAATAATGTTCAATTATTTTTTTGTAATCCGTATATAATAAATTATTTTCAGCGAAAAAAGCGACTACTATACATTAGTTTAAAGAGATAAATTAGTCAATCATTGTGTTCTTGTGAGGGTTATTTCCCCTTTGGCTTTAAAACACTTTTTGGAAACCCCAACCAAAGAAGGCAATAATTGGGTACGTCATTTTCATTAATAAAGTCTTTCAATACCTCGAGGTTGTGACCGAGAAATCTCCAACCCGTGGGATGATATTTTGATTGTCTATCCTAAGACTCTGCTGACGGTTAGACAATCACCACGAGGGATGAACATTTCATTGTTTAATCCTCAAGATAGGGGATGAATATCTTTACCAACTATAACAGGAGACACATTGTGACGGGTGGGAGAACAATTTATCTTCACAAACTATAACAGGAGACACATTGTGAAGGGGTGGGAGAACAATTTATCTTCACAAGCTATAACAGGAGACACATTGTGAAGGGGTGGGAGAACAATTTATCTTCACAAGCTATAACAGGAGACACATTGTGAAGGGGTGGGAGAACAATTTATCTTTACCAACTATAACAGGAGACACATCTGTGAAGGGCGGGAGAACAATTTATCTTTACCAACTATAACAGGAGACACACCTGTGAAGGGTGGGAGAACAATTTATCTTTACCAACTATAACAGGAGACACACCTGTGAAGGGTGGGAGAACAATTTATCTTTACCAACTATAACAGGAGACACACCTGTGAAGGGTGGGAGAACAATTTATCTTTACCAACTATAACAGTAGACACATCTGTAAAGGGTGGGAGAACAATTTATCTATACCGACTATAACAGGAGACACATTGTGAGGGGAGGGAGAAACGGTGTCGACCAACAACGGAGGTAATTGATACAGCCGTGTACTATTTTGATTATTTTGAAGTTTAATTAAGTGTTATAACTTAAGCATGAACACAGAAAACCCCACCCTATCGGTCACGTTATTCTGACAACGGATTCAGCAGTTGTACATAGGTACCCAGGAGGAGCATCAAAATAACAGGATTAACCGAGTGAGAACAGATAGGAAAGGATCCACGGTGTTACCATGGGGGTATCAACATTGTTCTCGTCAATATGCATACATAGATTGCACGAATGGGAAATCCTAATTCTCAATGAAAGTCTATTTATATAACCTCTTAGGATCATACAGTGGGACGCAACAGGTAAACCATACCCCCCAAACCCACAGGGGAGTTATGTCCCTTTTAGATGTTACATTATATCACATAATTACAGCTATCCCCTAAACCCACAGGGGAGTTATGTCCCTTTTAGATGTTACATTATGTCACATAATTACAGCTATCCCCCAAACCCACGGGGAGTTATGTCCCCTTTAGATGTTACATCATATCACATAATTACAGCTATCCCCTAAACCCACCATGGAGTTATGTCTATTTTAGATGTTACATTATGTCACATAATTACAGCTATCCCCTAAACCCACAGGGGAGTTATGTCCCCTTTAGATGTTACAATATATCACATAATTACAGCTATCCTCTAAACCCACCATGGAGTTATGTCTATTTTAGATGTTACATCATGTCACATAATTACAGCTATCCCCTTATCCCACAAGGGAGTTATGTCCCTTTTAGATGTTACCTTATATCACATAATTACAGCTATCCTCTAAACCCACCATGGAGTTATGTCTATTTTAGATGTTACATCATGTCACATAATTACAGCTATCCCCTAATCCCACAGGGGAGTGATGTCCCTTTTAGATGTTACATTACGTCACATAATTACAGCTATCCCCCAAACCCACGGGGAGGTATGTCCCCTTTAGATGTTACATCATATCACATAATTACAGCTATCCTCTAAACCCACCATGGAGTTATGTCTATTTTAGATGTTACATTATGTCACATAATTACAGCTATACCCCAAACCCACAGGGAGTTATGTCCCCTTTAGATGGTACATCATATCACATAATTACAGCTATCCCCTAATCCCACAGGGGAGTGATGTCCCTTTTAGATGTTACATTACGTCACATAATTACAGCTATCCCCTAATCCCACAGGGGAGTGATGTCCCTTTTAGATGTTACATTACGTCACATAATTACAGCTATCCCCTAATCCCACAGGGGAGTGATGTCCCTTTTAGATGTTACATTAAATCACATAATTACAGCTATCCCCTAATCCCACAGGGGAGTGATGTCCCTTTTAGATGTTACATTACGTCACATAATTACAGCTATCCCCTAAGCCCACCATGGAGTTATGTCTATTTTAGATGTTACATCATGTCACATAATTACAGCTATCCCCTAATCCCACAGGGGAGTGATGTCCCTTTTAGATGTTACATTACGTCACATAATTACAGCTATCCCCTAATCCCACAGGGGGGTTATGTCCCTTCTAGATGTAACATTATATCACATAATTACAGCTTTCCCCTTAACCCACTGGGGAGTTATGTCCCTTTTAGATGTTACCTTATATCACATAATTACAGCTATCCCCCAAAACCCACAGGAGGGGGTTATGTCCCTTTTAGACGTTACATTATATCACATAATTACAGCTTTCCCCTTAACCCACTGGGGAGTTATGTCCCTTTTAGATGTTACATTATATCACATAATTATAGCTATCCCCCTAAACCCACAGGGGAGTTATGTCCCTTTTAGATGTTACATTATATCACATAATTACAGCTATCCCCCTAAACCCACAGGAGGGGGTTATGTCCCTTTTAGACGTTACATTATATCACATAATTACAGCTATCCCCCTAAACCTACAGGGGAGTTATGTCCCTTTTAGATGTTACATTATATCACACAATTACAGCTACCCCCTAAACCCAAAGGGGAGTTATGTCCCTTTTAGATGTTACATTATATCACATGATTACAGCTATCCCCCTAAACCTACAGGGGAGTTATGTCCCTTTTAGATGTTACATTATATCTCACAATTACAGCTACCCCCTAAACCCACAGGGGAGTTATGGCCCTTTTAGATGTTACATTATATCACATGATTACAGCTATCCCCCTAAACCTACAGGGGAGCTATGTCCCTTTTAGATGTTACATTATATCACATAATTACAGCTATCCCCCTGAACCCACAGGGGAGTTATGTCCCTTTTAGATGTTACCTTATATCACATAATTACAGCTACCCCCTAAACCCACAGGGAAGTTATGTCCCTTTTATATGTTACATTATATCACATAATTACAGCTATCCCCCTGAACCCACAGGGGAGTTATGTCCCTTTTAGATGTTACCTTATATCACATAATTACAGCTACCCCCTAAACCCACAGGGAAGTCATGTCCCTTTTATATGTTACATTATATCACATAATTACAGCTATCCCCTAAACCCACAGGGGAGTTATGTCCCCTTTAGATGTTACATTATGTCACATAATTTTGGTTTGTCTTTCCTTTCAAGTAAAATTTGAAACGTACAAAAAAATAAATTATATCTTCAATGAAATTTAAGTAGTTAATTCGGAATAATAAATAAGAAACGCATTTGTCAAGATATGAGTGTGCACAAAATAACATTTTCAAAAATGTATATTTGGAAAGATATCATAGAGTATAACTCTATCACTTTGGAAAAATTCAGTGTATGTTCCTCATCTCTCTTCAAATATATCACACAAAGAAACTAGCTTAGCTCTAGAACACATGTCGACCAGGCTACATGAAACGGCTTGGGTCAACTGAGTGCATTTTTCATATATATTTATCTGCTTTTTTTCTGTTTAGCTAGGCCGTTTTAAACTAACCTATATAAATCTGTCTCTCATGTTTATCTCTATTATTTATTAACACATAAACATCTGACTTCAACATTTATAACGCAAAAAAAACAACATTTTAACATCAAGCATCTGGATGACTCTGACTATTTTCGAAGCATTTGATTAACCTTGTTTTAACCCACCTGTAATACTGCCTCACGTCTACTTTGCGCCTACATCTGGAAAACACGCTTGCTAAAAGATGGCTACATTCCCTTTTGGCACGTTTTCTCTTAGAACTGTCCGATTTACAAGGCGGTTCCGTTTTTTGAACATTTTCCTCTATTGTACAGGCCGCTTTGCTTCCAACACGCCACGTATTACCAAAGTTTTCCCCATCGAGATACATATGGTCATCCTTTCCCATCAAGTCGTCTGTGCTAATACCATTATAATTCCCACACAGACCTCTCATTTTCTGTTTGTATCGACTAGGTATCGTCACTTCTACGAAACTATCACCATCCCAAATGACCTTGAGGCCAATAGCGGTCATCACTTTGACCGACTGACCATCTCGTACGACCGAGAATTCAGCGTGATTTGTATAAGGTAGTTTAACACGTCTTCTATTTACTTTCACATTCATCTTTTGATGAAGTCCTATTTTCACATTCCCCAGAAACACAGTGACCATTCTTGTCCAAGTGAACCAAGGTGAGGTGCGTGCGTCATTGCGCACGCGTATTGAGAACGATTTAGCCACAGTGTCTTCCGCCAGTAGATATTTGCACGGTCCTTGGAAATTGTAAATCCGTCCATCAAATGTTCTATAGTGCGGATCGCCAAACACAGTGCACACTCCTTTGGCTGCAAAGATAGAAACACGTTGTTTTTAAAAGTGTGTCGCACATGAATATAGATTTTAGTGGATATAATTGTTTTGTCTTAACTGTGTTCAGTGTTTGCACGAGCTTAGACTATTACAGTTAGCGCTCCCTTTACATCTGAACGTATTAGATATAGTTTCAGGTTAGACCCCGTGTGGTCCCCATGTGACCTTTTTGCTAATAATGTAACGAATCAAAACAAATCTCTAAAACGTAATCAAAACTGACGGAATATTAAAACATTTAAAGTGCAACTTGTTTACATTTTCCTAAATTAAGAAATGAGAATATGAAGAAAAAGTAAATAAATATGTGTATTATGATATATACTACTTCTATTTCAATGTCTTCATTGTATTTCAGAGTATTTCTGATTGCAAAAGCTGAATTTTACATCCATGATATAATGAACTCCATTTAAATAAAACAGTTACATACATAAACATATGAAATAAAACGAGTCTCACTAAAGATCCTAGTTTCACTTCCAAAAACTGCAACTATAAATTATTTGTTTTGCCGGCATGACAATGGCTTCTGAAAAGAAACCCATACCATGCCGTTTTTCCGAGGATAAAGAGTAATGATGAAATAAATACAAACAAAAAAATAACAAAAGCGTTCTGAGAGTACAATTCTACGGAACCAGATAGGGATTCGAAGTCTGGACCGATGATCTCAACATGCCCATTCTAACCAACTGAGCTGCCACATCAACGGTAAGTTTCCTGGCTCACTACACGGTATAAGTATGTCCAAAACAAATCAAATGGGAGGTTACCGTATGTATAAACAAACGTCAGTACTACAGTTGAGTTCTCTCGGTTTTGCCTGCCGTGGATTAGGAATCTTTAAGGTTTTCATTAACATTGGGAAGAAACTAACAACGTAAGCAAAAATGTTGATTTTAAAATGTTAGTATTAATTAGCTTAGTTTAATTTGTCGTCCACTGCCAAAGATAAAAAAAAAGACAAAATGAAGCCAACCTCTCGACTTCAGTCATAACCCGAGGGTCTATGGGTGCAGAATGTCGCTCGTTGCTGTTTATAAATATGCCTATATAGCTAACCCGCTCTTCTTACCAGTTCTAAGGCAAATCACCATGTTCTTTAATGTAGTAAGGAATGTTCTTAAACTGGCAGCGACTATTTTATGTAGCTGAAACACACTTCTGTCACATAACACCTGGTAATGAGAGTGTTCGGATGTTTTGGTAATAAAGAATAATGGTTGTGGCTCTAGTGCTTTCCTATTTATCGATGCAAAGCTATCCCACTTGCGGTAACTAACACAGATTCCATTTTTTTTTTTAAATGCTATTCTCTCATTCCTCCACACATATTCCTTTCTCAAGTGCAAGCAATCTTCTTAGTCACAAATTGTTTGACAGATTATTGTTAAATGGTGTATTTTAATGCGTGTTAATTCAGATACACCGCTGGATGCATTGAAATAATTGTGTCATTTACATGTTTTGTCGTAAGAATGATATTATGGGATTTTTAACGATTTCAGTACCAGTGATACTGTTGGATCATGACAACAAGTACCCAATTAGTTAAGAGTGTGACGTCAACCAATTATCATTATATATTACCTTCAGTGCACCGTGGACAGCATTCACCGTCAACATACTTCAACCGGTAGCCCTGAAATGAAAACAGTATAATTTTAATTAAATATGTATATTATGCTAGAAAAATTCTTTTGTTAGCCAAGCATCGGCAAAATTGGAACTGGAACAAACAGCAAGATATCAAAGCTAAGTAACCGCATAATTTAACATTTAAAAGACGTGTAATAATCTCAAGTCTGTTACTTGTGCGTGTGTACATTCTTCCCCCCAGGAAATCCCGCGCACACAACACCAGAAAGTTAAAAAAATATTCCAACAGCGGATATATATCATAAACCTAGATATATAAAAACTTTAATACCATTTATTTTCACATTTTATAACTTTATGTTGATTTGGATTACTCAAATTTTAAAATAACAGTATTACGTAAAATGTGTTCATTTTATCACAGCGTACATAAATCAAGGAAGAGATTGTTTTTGCGAACCAAATCCCCTCGCGGAAATAATTGGCATGTACTGTAACAGGAGATGGCAGTAAGTTCCGTACAGAACCTAGTCTGGCAACCCTCAACAACATGTATATGCATCTACATATACCTCACAGAAATAGCTGTATATATATATTTATATATTATAAAAGCAGAATAATGATCCTTACGGACGAAGAAATAATATAAAAAGAAATAATCTCAACAACGAGTCTTTAGTACTTTCATCTCTACTAGGAGATTCTTCATTTATTTATATTTATATATTTATAGAAACATGATATGTATTAATCAAAATTACTTTATTGTACCAAAAGAAAATAAATATTCAACTGTTGGCCATCTGGACATAAACACTAGTAATAAACAAACATTCTGTTTTAGAAAAACAACATGTAGATGTGGACCGGGTACCAAGTGCGATTTGTATTGAATAGCTCCAGTCTCGCATTACCCTTACATTTAAGTTATTTCATAAACAACGCATTGTTTCAGTATCATGATTTAAGTTATGGCAAACATATAGAAAAATCGACGAAAGAGGTACATTGATGATTCTCAATAGCACATCTCTCTGATACAGACTTCCGCAGTGTTCAAAGGAACATTGATTCTCAATAGCACATCTCTCTGATTCAGACTTCGCAGTGTTCAAAGGAATGTGAAATCTTCGGACAACAATCCACCTGTTTTTGTTTTGTTTTTTGTTTTTTAGTTTGTGTTATAACCGACATTAAATCAGTTATGAAATACATGTAGTGATCTCGCGAACAAAATGACGTATGAATGAATAAAATGAATTTATTTCCGTATTTCCTCATTTTTCAAATGAGATAAATAAATAGGTTAAATTGATTAAAAGCTTTTAGTTCGCGTCATCATGTTGGCACCGTTCTAATTACCATGAAGGATGAACCGGAATCCCACAAACCTACCAAGGAGACAGTTTTAAATACATCAATAAGACAAACATCATTTCTCATGCCATAGCCTTCCATTATATCCCTATCTATCCCGTTCTGCTCTGGGTATCCACTTGAACTGAAGAGCAATGCCTTGACGATCCTCATTCGGGGATGTTTTTAGAGCCTCGGGGACTAACTTGGACATATTTGATAGCGGAGGCTGAGTGTTCAAGTCTCCAACCTATCATATTTAACAACTAGAGAAATTAATGCTATTTACTATATAGATTTTTTTACTACGAAGTACCTCATTCGATAAAAATCTCTAAAATGTTATGCAAACTCTTGAAATGTTTAGCATTGAAGTTGTGATGACTGATAGCAAATATACCTGGCGTTAACGTCTGTCTGGAAACACAGGCATGATGAGCAAGGTATTTAATTGGGAGGGAAATTGATTAAATCGCAGACAATCTGCTATATTTCATCATGTTTACGCGATTTCAGACAGACAAATGGTTTCATCAGTTTCAAATAAATCTCCAGTGGACTTCTCTTGTTGTACACGAGTAACGTCAATCATTTGTGCATTAATGAGAAACACAACACCCCAAATGCTTTTCCAACAGCTTAAATAAATAAAGAAGTTAATGTCGACAGGCTCGTTCTACACTGAAAGGTAAAATAAGTACTTAACACAAAAAATTTGGAAAACAAATCTGGTTTTAATCGGCAAAACATGAAATTAAATGGGAACTTGAGTATACTATGATGAGATAATACGTGTGATACAATCGGAATGCTGTCAACAACCTCCTATGGAAATACTGTTGTTTGCTGTTGTCTCGAGTAGAATCAGCTATTCCACCGACAGTAAAGCTGTCAAAATACAAACTTTATTTATTTTACAACAATTACTATACAAGTCTATTTTTTAAGTTATATAAATCACTTTTGTTTGTCCGGATGAACACCGACGGGGTCGGGCAGATAACCAATCCATTTTCACGTCCAATCGGAGAGTCGAACCAAAGGCCGTCATAGTGAAAAGCGATGTTTGTATCTACTGCGCCACCCGACCACCCGAATATCTATCATAATGGTCTTATCACATTTGAAGATGAACTTGAGGTTTACCTTTAAGGTTACTCACTTAAAGCTGAATTTGCTATAATTATATTATTTTTAATCACGGTTATCAAAAGTCATGCACGTCAAGGGAATCGAAATGAGCTATATGATGTGATTGAAAAAAGTATCTTATGTGGATTTTCACCTAACAAATTACGTAATATAAAGGTTTTACTTATTAATATGTCAATATGGTTCTCTCTGGGTTTTTTTTATTTAGTAGTTTGAAGAACTCGTTCCGGGATTTTTATATTGTTATGCGTTAAGGTAATAGCACATGACCAGAAGCATATATTAGCATTTCTATACACGTTGTACATCTACATGTCAAACTGTAAACTGATGTCATTTGGTGTCTTCATAATCTTTAGGACATATGTACTTTCGAATAAAAGGGATCTCAGAATTCACCTTGACTCGACGAGTAGTCTTACCTTTAAATTAATCCAATTAACAGTTTACATATCGTGACAGATATAATAGTGTTTCGACTAAATGATTAATTTTAAACAGCTATGTATCATGGGCCTAAAGTATGTTCAAAAATGTTTTCTAATATTTTTGCACCGCATTTGGTGATATTAATAGAATGCTTTTAAATCCATTAATACTTAAGAAATAAACGTAAAGCTTTATATCTTTGTAAAAAAAATCATTAGAAAAAATATCTACATCATAATGAAGGTAACCATATGTTCTTATTTATATTTAATACTGACTTTATTCTTTCTCTTATTCTGGGAAAAATTACCATCGAGTTATTTATCTTTATTATAATGAAGTATTGACATAAATCTTCGGAGACTGATTTGTATGGTAATAAAGGTTCGCTTACTTGTACGTTGCTAATAATAAACCAGATAAGTGCGGTTCTCCATATCTTCCCATACATATTTCGCTCCTATCTATAATCAAACTATTACCAAGGAAGGCACAAGATTTCAGAAATAAGTACACCAGATTCTGTAGTGATATAACTCATTTTATTGCCTACTAACAGCACCAGCATCTCAACAAATCTTGCCATGTTCAGTTTCGGTATTTCGCACATGCATAGACTGGAACATTTAGAATGTTCAAAACATACATTAAATCAGTCTGTTTATACACTCGTACTCAATCAGGTAATAGAAACGCGAAATTAATGTTTCAAAATGTTGTCATCGTTTATTGCTCTCGAGTCCCGATCGGTTAGCGTCAGGGATTTCTGTTATTTATTAATGGCAATGGCTGAAGTGCTAAGTAAATAAACTCGACAACGATAAAAGAGCGGCTGTAATATTTACATGATTATGACGCCTTCCTAATTACTTTTTTCATTACGATGTTCCACTGTAACGGGGGTAATTACCCGTACATAGATTTATATGTATCGGCTGGTGGGTTGTTCTTTTCGCGTCAAAAGCTAGCTACATTGCCGTTGCTCAGTCGCACAGATCAATCATTTGTAAAATACGTACGACCACCTGTACATACAAAAGCACGTATGATACGTCAATGACCGATACGGAATGTCATGAGACTTACCGAGGGACACCAGACGGAATTCCGACAATTTTGCACGTGACACCTTGTTGAGCCGTCATCACAGGAACATGCAGTGCATACGTTTGGCCGCCATTGTTGTTCGTGCTGTAATTTCAACAGAGGTTATGTTTAGTTCAACGTAAATAGATTAGGAAACGTTGTCCTGCTTGCTTCGTATAAATACATGGAAAAGATCATAACGAAATCGAGGCTCCAGAGACATAACCGAACAACATCAAGGCACTCAAATCAATATTATTATTATTATAAAACAACAGTTTATGTAACGCTCTGTCAAGCTAGATTAAGCCACTCTACGGTGTTCTACAGTACACATATATATAAAACATATAGTATTGTACAGTCTAACCTTGTTCTGAGATTAAACAACAGTTTATATAACGCTCTGTCAAGCTAGATTAAGCCACTCCACGGTGTTCTACAGTACATATATATATATAACATATAGTAATGTACAGTTTAACCTTGTTCCGAGATTAAACAACAGTTTATATAACGCTCTGTCAAGCTAGATTGAGCCACTACATGGTTTTCTACAGTACATATATATAAACATTGATTACAAAGATAAATCTCCTAGAAATCGATCTAAACTTTGTGTAAAAGTCAATATTTAAAACATGTACACGTGCATGATCACATTATGGTTTCGAAATAAAAAGAAATAACACGACCTTACATGTTTTACTCGAGTCCTAATGTGTTTATGAGCCAACAGTCTGGTTAAACGTTCCCTCTCCGCATGGGGCGCATGTGTATTTTTTTATCAACTTATAAACCGATCATTAGATAATTCGATTGTAATATTGGACTTTTTACAGCGATTTAAGAAATTTCCGGTAGTTAATGAAACACCATCTGGCATAGTCTTAACATTGATCTATGTGCGCTTTTCGACTGCACAAATCAGTAAAGCACGTGCAATCCAAACTGGCATTTATATTTTCACAAGCAGGCATAGGCTTAAGTTCTAAGCTAACATGATGTAAAGAAATCTTGCTATCAATAATGTATACACAATTATCCAGTGCAGCGTAAAAAGTGCATCATTCCTTTGAACACAGAGCAATGACCTTCTGCTTAGAAACATCCTGTTGACTATATTTGATGCATGTTTTTAAAAAATTGTGTTACTTTTGTCACAAGAAACCGATTACAGGAGTATAGCATATACGACCAGAATGTTTTCCAACAGTTTTACATGGAAGACACAAACATATGACTGCACCAATACAATTTGACAATTGATACAGAATGAAAACAATGAATTACTCTGCACCATACAGATGTTTCGTCATCCTAGGATTCACCAGTGATAGCTACACAATTAGAGGTCTTTCTATCACCTGATCATGCTTTTATATCTATGATTGAACAAACTTACCATATATGTTCTGTTCTTGTAGTCGCACGTCTGTTTGTCAGGACAAACTCGACAACACGAGTTTTCCCTCTGAACAGTTTTTTCTAGGGGGCAAGGAAGTGGCGGACATGTCTCCCGATCACAAATAAATGTTCCGTCCTGTAACGGAAGTGACGTCATAAATTTTAAAAAATGAGCATTTTAACTGCAACATTTTGTTAATATTATATTACAAAATTTATTTTCTTTGTTTCTAATCCCTCCTCCAAATATTTTACGTGCTAAAAGTTCTATTTACGATTATCCTTCCGGAACACTTGGTCCTATTTTCGTTGTACTTTATTAACGATCTTCACGTAAATATTTTCTTTGCTTACATTTTCCCCTAATTTTTACGATTTTTACTTTGAAAACTTTTGCAGAATATAAGGAAAACTACAAAAACATCTTTAAACACTGTAGCGTTGCATATTTTCTTGCTTGATGTTAAAACAATCCTCACCTCTTTGTTCTTCGCTAATTAAACTGATTTCTTTATGCAAGGAGTTACAAAGATTATTACGGAATTCGGTGTATGTTAATGTGACATCATGGCGTCAGAACCATTGGACAGACATGACGAACAACAAACACCACTTAAAATCCATCAAAGCATTACTTTAAAGTTCAACATGTCGAACTAACATAAATCAAAAGCTCAAAGTAAATCTGGGTGTTTTTCTTGAAAAGAATTTCATAAAATGATGTATCCAGTGAGAAAGTACATCACTATCTATCAAACTTAATTAAATATTATGTAAAACATCTTTCAAAATACACTTCAGAAAGAGTAATTGTTTTAAAGTATGTCTTAAATGTGTTAGGTCGTGCGAAAAGATTTCATATATTTTGCTTTAAAGCTAAACTATAGCAGACGCTGGGTTATTTAGTGCGACTATGTTTTTCTGTGAAGCATTTCCCTTTATCTTTTACTCTAAAAATGGTTTGATCCTGCCTTATTCTCATCATATTAAATAAGTTAATCAGTTAAAACAAAACCTCTATAATACGTCCGTTTATTAATGAAACAATCAATTAAAGTATTGACGTCACACACAGACTTCACTATCATTTCTTATTTAAACTCCCCTCTCGTAATTTTAAATAACCACAGATTTTTAAAGGATATCATACTTCTCTATCTAAGTTTTAAAGGACATATATTTTGGATTATCAATTTCATTTATTGATCATAAATTATTGATCATACTGACCACACAGAGACAGCTTGTACAATTTCCAGGTCGAAATGTCTCCCCACTTTTGTAGATTTTATATTGAAAGAAACATTTCCCACCGGGTAAATTGAATATCCTCCTTTGACCTGAAAATACAAAGTTGAAATATAACGCCCACTCTCAATGTATCTTGATTGGTTTGCAAACAGATAATGACGTCACATGACAAAATTTTGACGTCATATTAATTTTGAGTTTACAAACGTAAAAGACTGTTTTACTAACATTGTATGTGTGCATAACATCTAAATATTGACCTCAGCCCGTGATGATTTCATTTCATACTTGTATTTATGTAAATCTCATTTTTAAAACTTAACTATCTCTGTGTGTAGGACACCACTTTAGAATCGATTGCTGGAATTTGAAATTGCTTAGTATAGTTAAAAACATATTTTACTGAGCTCGAGCCTGCCAAAATGTTATCAAATCTATATAATATCATGGATTGCAGATATCGTTTTTATTGCCGCCTTTCATTTAAAGGAACAACACTCAATCTACAACGACCTTACCCGCGATAAACATTTATTTGATAATAACCAACAACGAAAACCATAGATGAACAATTTACCATGATAACAACAGTATATTTCTTCTTTACGGATTCTGTGCTGTTACGAATTCATTATGAAGAAAATGTGCGCACAAGAAACAAATTCATGGCTCATTATTGAAACATTATGTCAGCCGCATTTAACTGGCAAAAAATATACCACAGTTCGGCAAAATCCGATCGTCTGGACTAAAAAACACATCGAGATGGAGTGGGTTTATTTATTTCACAAGATTTCATAACACTTATGAGAAATGGGTTTTTTATCCAATGCTCGAATCATTTAACTTAATTAAGTTATTTTATCATTATTATTATTAGTGATTCTATACTTGGCGCTTACCGGCTTCTACATAGATTGTATTAAGAGTAGTACATAATTTAATATGTTTTTTTAAGAAACACGTTTTTCGTAACAAACTCTAGCTGAGTTCAAGTGTAAATTCGTCCGTTGAACCATAAGAAACACATGCATATGCATTGTACTTCAAATCTGTTATAAACCTTTGCCAGCAGATGTTGCAGATAAAGTGTTATGACCATTCCTCATGTAGTAAATATAGGTGAGAACGTAGCGGAGGAGCACCACAGGACGTGCATTTGCACGTACGAGAGATGCATGAGTGTTGTATAAAAACTGAAGTACGAACTTAGACGTTATCACCACACCAATCCATCATTCTCACCCTATGTTTCTCGTTCATTGACAAGACATGGTTTGAAAAGATTTTTGTATTTTGCGGTGTTCGTATGAAGATAAGATTTAGTAGGTTTTAGTGCCTAAAGTCAAAATTTCTCGAATTATGATTAGACGCAGTTCGAAAGGTCCTATCAGTGGTACCCTCGATATTTTTTCTCAAGACGAAATTTTCAACAAGTAGTTTGTAAACTTTATGTTAAGTTTCATCACATATCGTTTATTAAGATAAGATTTTGGATATTTATGAGTCAGACGCCACTACAGATTCAGAAAAAAATGACAAGATAGATTTTGATAAATATGTGTAAAAAGGTATTTACACATAAGAGTCTTAAAGTTGAGAAAGGTTTTTAAGATGCCAGGGTACATAACATGAAACAACAATAAGAACATCCTTACAGTGCCCTTCTGGTCATAAATGTGTATGCTTACTAAAAAGTCATTTTCTTCTATTATAATAATATAAACCCGAAGTTTATCTTTAAATTGTATTACACGAATAAATTTCATTTTATTTAAGAATCTTCGTCTAAACTTCTATCCCAAGTTTGATTAATATTTATTCAAATCGAATTTGTTGATAACAAATAATGACATTATCAATAATAGGTTTCATTGATCACTCGTTTTGGGATTGTTTTTGACTACTTCATTAAAATCTAATTTGTTGATAACAAATAATAACAACAATAATATAAATAATAAGTAATATTGATCGCTCGTTTGGGATTGTTTTTCCATGTACAGACAGGGTTTTGTTTAATCACCTAAAGATGTGTGTAAGACCTCAGATATGCCAGTGATTGTGATATTAGAGGTGGCTTGTACTTTACAAGGATTACCTGTAGAAATCAATATCCACTGATATTTGTTGGAGTAAATCAGGCATATTTATCTTACATTTTACATGGTAAGCCTGAACTATCATTGATACATTCCTATAACATTTTTATTTGATTTCTTATTGCAATTTTACATAATATACAAATTGAAAAGATTATGTTTGTAACTAAAATGATAATCTAAAGACAACTGACATGACAAAAACTATTTCAGATTAGGCTTTAGCTTTTCTTTTTAAGACAACAATGCTTGTTAAGGATTTTGTACAACATTCAATTAACAGTTGATACAAGGCCACCTCAGTTTCCATTGTCATTTTGGACAATACCAGCTTTGATGTGTTACGTTAAATAGTCTTCGGGGTAAAATCATTTTAAAAATAATGATGTTTCTTTCGTTCTTTTTGGACAATATATGATAGTCTGTGCAAAGCTCATATCTGACTCACGTTATTCCTAACGTACTGCATTTAGAAATGAATGTATTGTACTAAATAATTAACGTCGAAGGGGTAAATAGGTAAAGTACATCTACGTCACGCACTTGTAGATGTAAATGGAAGAATGACTGTGTTAATAAACTCTCAAATAACATCTCAGTTTTTTTCATTCATAGTCCAACATTTATAGAAATCCTTACCAGTTGATTATTCCTATTTTGTGGAAGTGATCGGGAGCTTTTCAATTTTGACATACAACTATCTTTCCGTACAAAGATATCATAAAGAACTTTAGTCGTTATGCGTCCTAGTTCACATGCCATTTCATTGACTGTTAAGCATTATAATAAACATGTTGATAAAGCAGTTGAACACTATTCACCTCACCAGAGGAAATTTTTATCCAGAAAATATTGCAAGGACAAGAATATAGACCTTCATTTTCGAACATGACAATGTTATGCTTGTTTTGTACGCGATTCCATCTTGATTTCCAGAGTAGTTTGTAAAAACAAAGAATTGAAATATTGAGCTTCGTTTTGGTGTTTTTTTTAACGGAGAAATATTTTTCGAAATGTGTATGGAAAGATCGATTTTACAACTTCTCGACAGCCACACTATGTATGTTGGTTTGAGGTTTGCTGTCCTAGCCATAGCTAAGGTCAAATAAACGCAGGTGTCTAGAGAGACACCGCCAGAAAGAAAGAGTAGGGAATGAAAAAAAGAAATCGATATATGCCAAGTTGTGCAATGAAGACAGCAGATCAAAACTTGATTTCTTCCACATTTCCTAAGGAGGAGACATAGAAGAAAACCCTGATTCTGCATTAGATCCACATAACTCGCTTCTTAAGACATGCAATTAGATGTAACAGTCCCATTCCTTGCTGCGAACCTACATATATACATTTATGATATTATGACATTCGTTACTTCTTTTGGTTTAACTTCTACCTTTTTGCGTTCTGATTTCGAACACTACTGACCTTTGCAAACCTTACAACAGGAACCTGGAGGCTGCCAAATTACATTCTTCGGACAATTCAAAACCGGACAGGTCTCCTTCTCACAGCTGACCGTTCCATTCTGGAATGACATATCAGAACATTTTGATCATATGGATGTGAACATTACAAGCAGTAACCAGGTCTTACAGCCGCAACCGTCACGATATTGGAGAATATTCTTCCATATCAGTTGAAAAGCAAATCAAATAACAGAAAAAAGAGAGAATTAAATGTAAGACTAACACAAAGAAGCAAACACAAGAACAGAGATGACTTCAAAACAGTGTCAAAATACCATAAAATATATAACACGCCCACAACAACCTGCACAGATGAACGTAACACACACACACACACAGTTGATTGCACCCTGAACTAATTGATACAGAAAGCCAAAACCTAGTTACACTGTGTCATACAGCTGATCCTCCTTCTAGGACTCATCGGTCAAACACATGGAAACAAATAGGCCTAAACTACTGACACAGAAGGAGAGGTAAAAACAAATCCTTAATTTAAGAATTTCAAACATTTAAGTACTGGTTAATTTCGATATCACAGGATTAACATACAAATACCTACCAAAGCTTTAACATACATGTTACTTTTTGTACATAGCACAAAATTAACAAAAAAGTTCAATATGTACCATAGAGTGAGCAGTACAAACAAGTACAAAATTTACCACGAAAGGAACGTACAAAGACAAAAAATGAAAATGCCACAGCGTCAACACACGCGGGAAAAAAAAGACAAAATCGATACAAAGAAACGCAAAAACCATGAATCCCAACTCAACCAGCCACTTCAAAGTTTGTGTATGTCGTTTGCCGTGACGTCATAAAAAGAGGCAAACAATTATTTACGATGTGTAGTCTATTTCAATACTGTCTAATGTTGCTGTTAGCAAAGTTATCGAAACATCTATTACTAAAAATCTCATTTAAAAAGAAAAAATGAAAGTCATCGAAGATTAGGAGCTTCTCAAATTTTACAAGGATTGTTAAAAGGATCCATAGGTTTGACCTTTAAGTATGTAATAAACGTATAATTGAACTTATGAAATATAGAAAAGATTTATTTTTTATGTGGAATAAAATGTCGTCTGGTTTGGTTTGAAGACATGTTTAACTTAACACAATTGACTTTCTCAAATCTATAGAAAAATACTCAATGGCGGGATAAAAATGCACCTTGGGATGGCCCCATATTAGATAGGTGTATATCAAATGACGAATGTGTCCTCGTAATAGGAGAGAACAAAACGTCTTGACGTTCTCGCAAAGAAATGATAGATATAGGGGTAGATTAGTGATCTAGTTACTACTTGGGTTTAAATAAGTTTAACCAATTTTGTCTCACTACAATAAACTCCGGCATAAATCAAATACCCCTGGGAGCTCATTTTCAGATTTCAATAGCGTCTATTGTAATTAACAAAACAGACCCCCGCGGTCCGGACTGCAGACAAAAATGTCAAGAGAAATGCCAGTAAAGAGAAACAACTAATGGTTCTCGTGACATATCCCACGAGAGTGTAATTAGTGAATTCCTTTTCTCATTTACGTTAATTGAAAATTGACTACACCCGAATGAGTGTCTTCTGACCTGAAAGTTAAAGTATGTAATATAAATAATGCTTGAAAAGTAATACTGTTATAAGAACACATTGGTTTATTGTGAACATTTTAACTTCAATATTTTTGATATTCCCCGTGTTTTTAAATGTACATTTAATAATGGTATTAGCTATCACAAATTCTCATTTGAACCTAATTCATTATTTTTATTTGACATACTTCAGCTTTACTTCGTAAAACACACAGAATATAGCTTTGTCATGAAGACGCTGCATTTAAAGCTACGTATCATATATTTGTTTTGTAATTATAGTTAGATCTTATCTACAATTTAATCACTTTAATTCTAAGAATTATACGACGAATCGAAACCATGTCAATTACATATTTTACGTAATGATGTTATTTGAAAAATCTAAACAACGATATCATTACAGGAAAATGAAGTCAGACAATGTGTTTTCAAAGTGAAATTCTTACTGCAAAATCATGAACGAATGATAAAACAGGAAGACAATGCGCACGGAGTGATCGGTCGGCACTGTGGATAAAGCGAATCGGCCTTTCACAAAGATGGCGGGGTTTTACCGATAACAAGTGAAAAGGTAAGAGTCCACTGCCCGACAACGTGGGCTTTCTCCTGGTATTCCGATTTCATCACTGCAGGCTTAGTAATAGTCCGTCAAATCAGACCAACATCTATTTGGACAATTAGTAGAATTTAATCTAGATAGTTTTGTTACTGTTAATTATTTTAGTATGCTTTATTCTAGAATAGAAATACTTTTTGTTCGGTTTTGAAATATTCACGAAAGAAATTAACCACCTTTTTTTTGCAGAATTTAAAGTGACAAAAAATGTTATCGATGTGCGATTACCTTTTGACTATAGGACAGTTAGATAACTGTTTATACATGTATAATGATGCACTAAGTAAAGTTGTTCACAGTAATCCAAATAATCAATTTAATTTAATTTTAGTCATATAACAGAATGTACTTCATCTTAAACAAAATTCCCATTACCTGCGTTGTCCGTATCAAATTATATTTGGTATAAACACCTTCGTACGACAGTTTTATCGACCAGTAACGAGTTTTATTCCAAATTTAACATTCCAACGATTGTCTCGCGTCATCTGTGATAATTATAAAACAGTAACATCCCCACAGACAGACTGATCGACCAGACGGGTCGATAAAGACACGTGGGCGCGATCAGGACCAAGGTGAGATAAAGGTATAATTTCGTTTAATCTTTATATTGTGTAGGAGGCATTTTTACAGACAGGTACTTAAACTTGTCATTTTAATTTGCGAAGACAAATGTGTTTTGATTAGCGTAGATATTAACAAGCTTGCCTATGTATAAAGAATCATCGAAATCCGAATTTGCTTTTGATTTCTGTTATGAATCCAGATGTGAGTTTTATCATCAACTAAAATATAAATGTATCTAGGTATACCTAAAATTATTTCAGAAAAAAAATCAAGACTTAGGAGTTGAATTTGAATGATACTGAAAGCAGGTACAATTCCCTCTGCAGTAGAATGAATACCAAAACAGATCGTTCTTCATTAAATGTTGTCATCATATGATACACAAATTTCAAATACACTTAGCATCCTTATCCTAGCGCACTCACATTTGCGAATTACTCATTTCCCCCCTTAAAACTGCACCCTTAATATATGCCTTAGAAAACAATATATAGAATATCCAGTTAGTATAGTCATAAGTTAGCGCAATATTTGAAATGCAAAAACAAAGGCAAAAAAAAGAAGGAAAAAAGAAACAGAAAAAAGATTTCCACTTAAACTTTTATATTTACAAGATCATTTAATATATACAAAAACACTACTTGATTATTTAGCCAATCACATCGCTAATTATAACACATAGCATAAATATTAGCCAATCATTGATTTCAACACAAATCGATAGCTAATCATCATTAATAAATGAAAGTAATATTAAATTACCCTTAGTCAGACAAATAAAGTTATTAGATATAGTCAACTGATACGTTGTGAAGATATTTACAACATTCTAACCAATCAAATAAATCGATAAACTAATATTAGCCAATCACATGTTCCATATATGTCCACACCAATACAAGTACTTAATCTGTAAAAGCGTCAACTATTCAAAGCTGTCCAGACAAAACCCATTAACAATGAAATAAATCCATATCAAAATAATCAACTAATCAGAAACATTAATACAATAAAATAACCAATCCTATCATCTGACACATACCTTACAGGAACACTTGGTACACAAGTCTGTTGACAGCGGAAACACATCACCTTCATTATACGTTTTCCCATCATATTGACAACCTGAAAATGATAAACATAATGTAGGACAACGTCTATCACAGCGTGAAATGAAACCCATTTCAATAAACCTTACACCATAAAAGCGCACACACTTTTAGTTGACAATATAATAGATAAGTGCAGTTTTACGGAACTTTTGGTCTTTGATCTTTGACACATTTTACCTGTAAGATGATATAGTTACAAAGGGTATAATAATTACATACCGATCAACATTGATGTGACTAACGCAGACCTAACGATGTAAATGCCTATCTTACACCTACAAGACACAGCGAGTGGCTGGCGGTGTACGGACATTTATGTAGAATCCACGGGAAATAGTGGTGATTGCCAACAGAGACGGTTTCTTAAACGGGTGAAAAACACGATGTGTTTACGCATCAAGTGACGACGCATAGGTTTAATGGGTGAAAGTGAAACACAAGAAAGTCTAATGAGGCCGATTTAGTTCTAGTGTACTTTAGTAAAGTATAGCATTTCTTGTGGCTCGCAAAAATAGAGGTACATATTCCTTCTCCCCTTTTTTTCATTACAGGGCTGTAACTACCGACAATAAAAGAGCATATTCATTTTTGTTATTTAACGTTGTCTGGAATTTAGAAATGATAGTAAAACAGATACAATATAATAGATAGGAAAGAAAAGGAAATTCATATAGATTTCAATTAGTGATATTTGGCCCAGCCGCAGATAGGTCTTGCTCTACCAATGTCTGTTAAGTAGGCAGATGACATCGAGCAGTCGATAGCGTACAGCAGGTCCCCCTCCCCGAAAATCTTAGAATGACTCAAATTGAATTTGTCGTCTATACACTATAATTGTGTGTTTCAGGTTTTGTAGTACTTAATGTTTACAGAAAAAGATAAAGAATCCCAGATAACATATCGTTACTATAATCGGTCCGTTCTTACAGCACCCTGTTTGTGATGATATGACCCGATCGTCAGTTAGTGGTGTATTGGTAACACTGTGTGGCGATGTAAGAAGTTTGTGATGATATTACCTGAGTGTCAGAAAGTGGTGTATTGATAACACTGTGTGGCGATGTAAGAAGTTTGTGGTGATATTACCTGAGTGTCAGAAAGTGGTGTATTGGTGACACTGTGTTGCGATGTAAGAAGTTTGTGATGATATTACCTTAGTGTCAGAAAGTGGTGTGTTGGTGACACTGTGTTGCGCTGTAAGAAGTTTGTGATGATATTACCTGAGTGTAAGATAGTGATGCATTGGTAACACTGTGTGGCGATGTAAGAAGTTTGTAATGATATTACCTGAGTGTCAGAAAGTGGTGTATTGGTGACACTGTGTTGCGATGTAAGAAGTTTGTGATGATATTACCTTAGTGTCAGAAAGTGGTGTGTTGGTGACACTGTGTTGCGCTGTAAGAAGTTTGTGATGATATTACCTGAGTGTCAGAAAGTGGTGTATTGGTGACACTGTGTTGCGATGTAAGAAGTTTGTGATGATATTACCTTAGTGTCAGAAAGTGGTGTGTTGGTGACACTGTGTTGCGCTGTAAGAAGTTTGTGATGATATTACCTGAGTGTCAGAAAGTGGTGTATTGGTGACACTGTGTTGCGATGTAAGAAGTTTGTGATGATATTACCTGATTGTCAGAAAGTGGTGTATTGGTAACACTGTGTGTCGATGTAAGAAGTTTGTGATGATATTACCTGATTGGCAGATAGTGGTGTATGGGTAACACTGTGTGGCGATGTAAGAAGTTTGGGATGATATTACCTGATTGTCAGATAGTGGTGTATTGGTAACACTGTTTGGCGATGTAAGAAGTTTGTGATGATATTACCTGAGTGTCAGATAGTGATGCATTGGTAACACTGTGTGGCGATGTAAGAATATGATCATATCTGAGAATCTTTATGTTTTTCTTTTGTTCAGTCATTTTACTTACATTTACATAGGTATCTTAAGGACATTGACTGATGTAAAAAGAATACTGATGATTCCTTATGTGAAGGACGTAACATGTTTATTTTGTGAAATCATAATCAGATGTTAAACCACAGTTGGATGTCAACAACATGTTTACTGATTTTTCTCAGCGAACAAGTCTATATCAAATACGTATGATGATTTAATAAGCAGTACTATTTTTATTTTACAGTGTTCTATTCAATTAACATAGTGTAGTTAAATATCAAAGGATCGTTTACTGACTTCGCCTCCTTCGAAAACGAAATTGAAATGAAGAACGTTTGCTAGAAAATTGACAGGTTCGTCCGTTAATTGTTTCCTTACAAATAGCTTTCGTCAGAATCTGACTTTAATGGGTGGGCTGCTGTTATTGCATACTAGGGCTAAGGTTTCAGCCTATCTGTTTGTCGATTCCATACAGATTACACTGGTTACACATATTTCGTTTCGTTTTAATCAAACTAGCTCAGATGACATATTCACACCAACATGGCGATTCTATCTCATCTTATTCTGCCAGAGGGTCTGGATGGGGGAACGGGTTGTTATGGAATTTCATCTCCGGCTGTTCATGTATATATATAATTTAAAACTGATTACAAATTTAATTTGTGTGGGACTGTTAGAAGCGTATTTAATTAATAGTTGTGTAGGACATGGCCAGAGAATGATATATAGAAAAAACAACTACAAATAAACAAGTTCATTTCCTCTAAAGCCTCATTACTCATGGTTGTAAAAGTAACGTTTACATGCAATAAAGCGCTTGCCAGCCGAAGCTGTCAAAATAATAAGAGATATGTTTTATGGCCATCTTCTTGAAAAATTGTTCAACATCTTATTATATGGTAATATAATAACATTTAACATCCTACACCTAGCAATTAATTGTCTGAGAAAATGCCCGGTAATGAGATAATGATTTGGTATGGGGGTCTCACACGTAACTCAGTGAGCTGTGCGGTATTAGGTTTATTGACAAGATCGTGCTAGTTATTGTAAACGCTTGTGAATTCCCATAGGCAAGCTCGGGCAAACTCGAGAACGATACTGCACTTAAATTAAGACTATTTGTGTTTATTTCGTTCTTCCATTTGTTTATGCATGGTATACTGTAAACATACACAATTTAGCTGTAGTATTGTTTCAGCACTTTTTGTACATAACTTTTATATATACATGTAAATATGATAGCACTAATTCATGGTTTTTTAAGTCGCCATATACTACATTTGTCGAGGGTGCAACAATACATTGTTGTGCTAATCTGTTAAAATTTGATAATGCACTAAAATGTGAGTGCGCTATTTATTTATAAATTTGGTCTTATTTTGTTTAACGTCCTGTAACAACTAATGTCATTTAAGGACGTACCTCAATGAGCGGAGTGTATGCGTGCTTGTGTGTATATGTGATGGAGGCAGGGTATGTTAATGTATTTGCCCCCTTGCGATAGCGCGGATCTGATGCTGACTTAAGAGTGCTACCTTACTGAAATACTATGCCAAATGTAACAGTCTCATAAATCACGAAATGTTGTGGGTTCGATGGTATTTTTATTACGTGTAAATAAAACCCTAGAAAACAAAACATAAAATACATATAGCATACGCCGCAAAGAACGATAACTCTTTACTTACATATATATTGCGATTCAATCAGTTATTCTCGTTTGTACATAATTGAGAGATGTAAATTGTATTTTACATTATACAATTTATAACTAGAAAATGTGGGTCACATTTAACGGGTGAACCAGCTGTTGCCATCACCCTAAATACTGAACTTTAAGCAAGTACCTGCACCATTGTAAGGATTTGGTATGTCCCGGCTTGTTTTAACTGAATTCCATGTTACTTTTGTAAACAACTACAATAACAGTATACAATTGTTTCATGGCTATTTGGGGAACAGTCAAAACTATCATCCCTCGGTAGGGGGAAGCCCTGGGGAACTGTTTGCCCGAGGCCGCTAGGCCAAGGGCAAACAGTTCCACAGGGCTTCCCCCTACCGAGGGATGATAGTTTTGACTGTTCCCCAAATAAACATGAAACAATTGTTTTATTACCAAATAAATATTAGTATCAATGCTGCATGCAATGTTGCCATTGCTTCAACACTGAGTCGCGGTCACCGAAACGCTTGAAGGGGGCTCTCGAGTGGGGATTTCTGCGCATCGAATTCGCGCCGGGTAACAGTTCGCTCTGACCGGGAAAACAGTTTTGACTGTTTCACCCCTACAGCCGAAATTGGACAAAAAACCAGAAACAGTCAAAAATGACTAGTTATAATTTATATAGACTATTGGGTAACAATTAGCTCTAACTACAGTCCCTGCAATGTGTTTAGAAAGGGAAAACAGCTGTTAAAACTGAACTCAATGTAGCTTCTGTAAAACCAACAGATGTTTAAACTGAACTCAATGTAGCTTCTGTAAAATCATCATTTGTTTAAACTGAACTCAATGATAGTTGTGTAAAAACAACAAGTTTTCTGTTATTGAAGCCAGTATAAAGTCCATAAAAACAACAACAGTTGACTGTAACTGAAGCGCAAGTAACGTTTAAAAAGCATCAGAAGTTTACAATGTAAACTCTCCCACACACAGACATTCTGAGTGGAACACACCATTTCTAATTTACAGAGAGCGGGACATTGGTTATGTTTTATTTGTTTAACAGGCGTTTTTGTAATAATGTTTACATTAAATTGCGGTTTAGTTTAGACCTTTGCCTTCCGGTCTCAAATGCCACTTAAATAGTCCAATAAAAACTCAAAAGAAAACGAAATCAATTTATATTTGCACAAAATCAATCATTTAAGCGTTTTGATGAGATAGCGCATCAATCATTTTCAAAGAGTTTGACAGACAAGATGAAACACTAAACCGTCCATGAAAACGCTTGGTAAACAGACTTTTAGAAGACAGATCATCAAAAACATGGCGTTTTATTGAATTGGTGGAACCTCATAATAGATCCATATTCATATATGATAAATTCTTTATAGAGACCACGTTTTTTTTTCCTGTGTCTAATAAATTGAATAATGGTGAATGAAAACGTCAGTTGAAGGGGGCCGTTATTTTAGTCTATAAAAACACCACTGGAATGCTATCAAAGAAACCTAAATATAGAATTTAAAAAAAAAATCCACTACAACACACATACAAACTATTGTACTCAAATACTAATTGTGGAATAAGTATTCGAGAAAAAAAAGCTATATTAATGGTAGTAGTAAGGAGAAGATGACTTTCAAATACAGATACCCCACTCATGAACACACACTATAGCAGATAACACAGACACTCCTGTCGTGATATAGCCCCTGGCAAACAGCCTTGCTTGTCGTACCAAAATCACCAATAGTCAGCCTTGTTTATAGCAAAATATATATTCCTTATCAATAACACTATGACCAAGTCCTTTCTTATTACCATTTATAGAACGGTCCCTCTTATGAACGATCACGAGAACGCATTTTGTCAAATAGTAAACGATCATGTCGCCATCTCACTCTCTTTGTAATCGGGCACAGGAACATTCATTTCTACAGCCACATATAAATATAACACATTTGTTCGTTTACACTTTCCAATATCTAATTTTTGGAATTAGTGTTGAACGTTCTCCCAAGTGAGAAAAAAGGGTTCTGTTTCCCCAGGGACTTTAAGCCTTTAAATTGGTAGTTGTTATTCCTTGCAAAACGTACAGCATTTCGGGTAATCGCAACAACTGGTTAACCCGTTGTCAACATAACTTGACCGGATAGAGTACTGTACTGAGTGTCATCGGCATGGTACTCAGTGAAGTAGCCCTCCAAAGTCGGCAACAGATTCGCGCTACCTAAATGGGGCAAATACAGTAACATACCGCCTCGAACACACATATACGCATGCAAGCATACATTACACACATGAAGACGTTACAGAACCGTTCATTTGTCCTTTCTAATTACCCCTAACATAATTCTTTTAATATTAGGAGGGTTGACAAGACTATTGGCAAGTTTCACGGTCGTCATAAGGATCTGATTTGAAAATATTCTTTTTCCTTGTGCAATATAGGTATGAGTTTCTATGATTTAAGTTGTGTTTGTTGTTGCTGTGGTCCTTAAGACAGAGCATTAAAACAACATCTTTCTACCTAGCGATCACTTAGTCATTATCTTTCTACCTAGCGATCACTTAGTCATTATCTTTCTACCTAGCGATCACTTAGCCATTATCGTTCTAACTAGCTGTCACTTAGCCATAATCTTTCTAACTAACGTTTACTTAGCCATTCTATTTCTACCTAGCGATCACTTAGCCATTATCTTTCTTCCTAGCGATCACTTAGCCATTATCTTTCTAACTAGTGATCACTTAGCCATTTTCTTTCTAACTAGCGATCACTTAGCCATTATCTTTCTAACTAGCAATCACTTAGCCATTATCTTTCTAACTAACGACCACTTAGCCATTATCTTTCTTATAACTGGTCTATTAATTTTCTAAAAACCGATCTTTTAGATAATATTTAGCTTAAAAGCAAGATTTTAGACATTCTCTTTCTTAAAACCGAGATTTTAGCCATTAATTTTCTGATATCGATCATTTACAGAATTTCATTCTTAAAACCGAGATTTTAGACATTTTCTTGCTTAAAACCGAGATTTAAGACAATAATTTTCTGATAGCGATAATTTAGAGAATATCTGTCTTAAAACCGAGATTTTAGACATTTATTTTTCTTACAACCAAATACTGACTACTCCCAACTACTGTACTCGCCCCTTTAGCATTTAAATTTGATTAAGTAAATGCTTAAATGAAGTTCCTGGTAGACATATCTATCAGATAAGAGGACCTGTCCGAGGACCATATGGCACAATGAATGTTTAAAACACGTGGTATAGCATTCTTAAATTGCATGGAAATGTTATGCAAAGTATTCAAAACACATTTTTCAAACTATAAAAATCGTTGTATTTTACAAATTATACTTCTTGAGAGAGGAAACATGTTGCTTACAAATGTCACAAGCTCTGTGTGCGTTGTAAATGTATTAGACACGTTTTACCTTTCAATAAAACGCGTGCTCCGACGAGGGAAACAGGGATTAGTCTTGTACTTACAAATGTTTACAGCAGAGGTCTGTGTATTTACCATGTACTGTTCGTATAACTTACAATTTTCCTTCACAAATATTTGTCTTTATTTACTACCATATCGTCTTGAACGGCACTTGAAGTCATTTGTATACACATATAAAGCGTGTGTTGACAAGATATTCTAAAACTGCAACAAAATCAATCTTAAACTCAATTTCTCCTGTATACTTAAAAGTATTTTAATTAATTAATTAAACTATTGTTTGTTGTTCTGTTTATTTTGTTGTTTTGGGGGTTTTCTTGCCTTTTNGGGGGGGGCACTCTAACGTCTGCCAGCGCTTCGACAACCATTTTCTTGTTTCTTCCAAACTTTGTAAATTTGATGCTGATATTACGTCACAAAGTGGTTGACTCTGCTATTGGACTATCAGTTCTGGAGGTGAACCTTTACCTCAAAGTTTGGAGTAATGTCTGCACGGTTTATATGAAATACTAATTTAAGAATTTAAGGACCTGCTATGAACAAGCGTTGTAATTTTGTGACGTAACAATTAGTTATTAGGCACTTTTACCTTCTGCTGTCTTTCTACGTGTGAGTCGGAACATTTTTGACAGGGGATTAAATACGATTATATAAAATTGTTTGTGAAAAAAAAACCCTGACGAAATATGACTGACGATAGTTTCCAATGTTTTGTTGTGTCAACTTGTTTCGAAAAGGTATGCATTTTATTCTTTAAATAGATATTGCTTGTGGAACTCATAGAACGACACAAATGTGACTGACGACTTTATTCCATATATTAAATATCAATTAAGGTACACAAATAACCGTGAATGATTTTTAATTATTTGAAAATACATGTATCAATTGATTGAACTTACTTTGGCAAACCGGACAGCATTTACCCGGAACCGGAACTGGGTTTGCGCATGGCGCGTAACACTTGGTGGTTGTCCTGGTGGCTACACCGGCCTGTAGTTATAAAGAAACATAATATTTTTATATTACATGTACACTTCCCACTGACTTGAAGAAGGTCTTACGATGCATAAGCCTACTTCATAATTGTACTAAGCGAGTAATATTATCCCCATACCCCCCTTAATATCGCCTTTTCCTCTGTTTAAGCAGCACTAAAGAAAACAATTAAATTTGACCCGCACATTGTAATACTTAAGACTTTGTTTTTTCCTTTCCAGCATTTAAATTGCAACATGTTTATTCCCTGTTATTTTATGTACTCCTACATTATCTACCTTAAACCTTTGTCTACGGTGTGGCTTTGTAAAGTTATTGTGCTGATGCACCGTCGGGATCTATATCTTTAAAATAGCAAACAAAATCCTAACTAAATATTCTTTATAAAAAGTCATCAACAGGGGCTGAGAGAGTGCGATAACTAAACGTAAAGAAAACTGGAACCCCCACCCCAAAAATAAACCCGAAACAAAACAAAACAAAAAAAACGAAAACGATACCCCAGAACTGTTCAGAAGATTTGGTATATTTGTGCAATAAAACATGATATTAAACTATGTCTGTTGATGATAAAATTAAACCTATCACTATACAGTTTCTCGTGTTTCACCAGACTTACGTAGATGTACGTGTAGACAGAAGATCGTCACATTTTGTGAATATTTGACAAACAAACACTTCAATGACCCTGATAGATTATAAACTTAGTCGACTTGGTTTGTTTTAGGGTGTGGTCACACTTAATGACGAAAATATCAGAAGAACATGGATACACGAAGCTATCCACCTTGGTAAGCTTAATAATATATAAACAAAATAAAGAAAGATATCGCCGTTTTTTAAATATCAACAACATATTTAGGTCAGTCAAGCGCTTGCATGACGGCATTCATTTTTAATCCAGAAACGTTTGTTTTTCGTTTTCGTTTCAATATTTAACAAATACCTCTCCTTACAATATTTGTGTTGAGGCAAAACTAAGCTAAGGAATCTTTACATGTATGGCCCTAGCATACAACAGTTACTGGGTTGTATCTAGTCGGCGGTTTTACGTTATAGTAGGTCTACACTATGTGAATGAATTATGTCCATGTCGTCTGGAACGTGATTTCTAACCAGCGAAAACGTGCATCTGAAAATTCCGCAATTTAATCGGTGCAATGGTTTGAACTGATGAAGTTAAACCGACTCTACCTTATCAAACGTGATCTCATTGCAAATCCCGATTGTAGTCTTTGTCTCTTTATGCTCGTTAACTTGAATACTGTATACCTATGTCTTTGTATAAGTATAAGTAGAGCACACATTTATCTGACAGTCTACAATTAATAGTGAAGTATTTTATATTATTGAAAAATTTGCGCTATGGCATCGTAGCATAAGGTAAATATTCGGGACAAATAGCAAACAGACCCAACAATTTAGCTTACCAGTACAGTGTATATAAAGATATAGTCAATGAGCAATTGTGTTCACTGAAATAATAAGCAAAACTGAGGCAGTTGAATTATTTTTGATACAAATGTGTTCACTGTCTTCAGGTCAACGAACTAAACAGAAGTTATGTTATAAAGTTCAGTAAAAATGCATTCTTTCATTATTTCTTGTTTTTCCGATACATGTAATTACCAGCAGGTGCTCGTCTTTTTCATTGCCCGTTGGATCATTAGATATGTAAAGGTTGAAAGTCTTAGATATGACATATACGGGTAAGCATGTTTATGACTTGACTGCCAACGTCGGAATTTTATTGAGATAAGATAACCGGTCAAACATCTGTGATATATATGTACCGGTTTAATTAGAGGGAAACACTACAAGATTTATGAATCGACTGGGGACTAAAACCCATTCTGTCTGCATTCCTCTTGTTAGTCCACTGCGCTGGATATAGTAAGTGTGTTGCCCACGTAATTTTACCGAGATTTCCCGCTGATATAGGAATACATTTACAGATCGTGTACTCAACGAAAACAGAAAATTATTCTTCAACAAACGATGGAATGTTAGAAAATATCAATGTGTACGTTGTCAACGACGCCGCCTCCGCATAGAAACCGGAAATGCCTCAATCGTCGCCTATCTATCGATTCTATTTAAGCTTTTAAAAATGACCATCATGACTTCCGTCTGGCAAAACATGCACCGCTGTAACGCTCGGTCTTCTCCATCACACCGGTATCTGTCCGATATCTCACCCATCGGGCGTCGTTCCCGCAGTCGGTACCCCGCCAGCCGGGCGTCTACCCCGACGTACTCGCTCATCCGGGCGTCGATCTCATTCACACACTAAGGTACAAACCGGACGTTTAACCCCCGATAAACTAACTCTTTTGAGGACCGGAGCCAGTACACACACCCAACCGTCGGGCGTCGCTCTCAGGCGCACCTTGCCGGCCGTCTTACGTATTCTCGATTCCTATGTAACTCTTGCCTTTCGCTAGACCAAATGTCAAAAACCTGATAAACTAAACTCCGATTTCACGTAGTTATTTGCCATCTTATGATCATTTTAAAATTTCTTAAATATATGATATGAACGTCCGTACCGCTTAACAAACTTGGAAAAGAAAAACCCCATTTTACCCATTTTTGTTAACGACCATCTTAACAAATAGTTTCGAACAACAAAGACCCTATTTTTTCATCTTCTAAAATTCGTTTGCTTACAGTTTAATCATAAGAAAACAAAATATTTAACAAAAATATGATTAAAGTATAACACGGGTTATCACACTCTGCAAACAAAAGATCGATCAAACCCAGGGATAAATTAAAGTTGACCTGTTAATCTTAAACCCATCGTTAAATTAACACGAGCGATATGTGGCGGTATAAACAGACAACCGTATCATAACCTAAAGTCAACTTTCACTTAAGTCCTTGCTATCCATCCAAATTCAACTGAGACCCTGATCAAATCCATCGAAGTATTGTCAACTTCGTTAACAATTGACTATAAAGATATTAAAAGACAATTATAACATTGCCTTCATTACACACTGGCCTGTTGTTATTTGAGTTCATATAAAAAAATAAAAAAATAAAATAGAATCTCAGAAAGAAAACAAATCATAAAGTTAAGATAAATTGATATTTTTATTGAAAACTGACCAGGACGTGGTAGTCGAGGTCAAAAACAAACATGGCTCTCTAGCGGTTTATCTCTGTGTATGAATTGAACTTACAGTTTTATCGAAGATAAATATTTAAACATGATCACCGCATTCCAACATTGATCGTAACTGTGTGTTCGCACGCGCCAAGCAAAGCCGACTATCGTAGTATCTCTAAGAAATCACCACTCCCAATACCCCTTCAACCATATAACAATTAAAATGCAGCTTGTATGGTTATACCTCGTCATATCAGACAGACAAAAGAGTCAAACCTAGCGAACGAGACAAAATACATATATCTCCAATTTATCAGAACACACTCTCTATCAATATACTGAGTACCCCGTAGTCGAGCGACCCATAAAGTTTACTACAATTTCGCAACATTTTTCGTCACTAAAAGTACTTAAACCAAGGAGCTCCTTCGGTATATCGAATGTTTATTATATTTAGACAAGAAGCATCTACAAATAACGCCCATTCGTTGCTCTATTTAGACAAACATTTTGTTGACGCATCAACTTTACAATGAAAACATTTTAAACAGAGAGTTCCTTTTAGTAAGTACATCATCTAGTCATGCAGCAAACGACGAAGATATCCTGATTTGTTCGGGAGGGTTGGAGGTAGAAAGTGGGGCAATGGATGGGTGGGGTAACAGTGAAGTCTGGCGAGTTTCTTTATGAAAATAAGTTATTAATGTGACAAAGAATTGGATATAAAGAAAAAGAAACCAACGGTGGCGTCCCCTTATAAAACCATCCCATTCTGACAGCAGTAACTGCAAATATAGTATTTAATTACTTTTATAAATATTCAGAAATTAAAGGATACTCTAGGTTTTAAAGTTTTAATGGTTTGACGATCAATATCAGTAGATTGGGTAACTTTTGGAGACATTACGGTTTTCTAGACTAGCAGCAATGCATTACTATGTAATCTTAAGCCGCCAGTGCGATTGCGCCTGTTTTTACGTCTGGTAATTAGTCCGAAACTGTGGCTATAAACTCGCATCTATTATCGTTAGTTTGTTAGAAACTGTGGCTATAAACTAGAATCTACTATCTTTTGTTGCGTAGAATTTAACCAATAAACACGATACGGTTTCAAACGTAACTACCGATAGATAATTTTTATGAAATTAGCATGTCTGCCGGTGTATCGCTGACGAAATTTAAAGTGAAATAGACAACCTGCCAAGTGAGGAATTTTCTAATTTGTCGACATACTGACATTTTTCTACACCTGGCCGCAGTTTCATAAAAGTTCCTTAAGAAAATTCATAAAATTATTAGAGTTAAGAGATTAAGGTTAAGAAAATTTCTTTAATTTCAATAAAATTTTACTATAGATACTTATGGATATTCCTTCCGTTAAGAAATATTCATGAACCTGGCCATGCTGTTTAATTTCCATTATGTGTATGTTGTAAAATTGTACCAAAGAGCAATGATAATATGATATTATAATTTTTAAAATAAACATCTGCCAATCGTTTTGAAATGTAATGATAACGAGACACATGTAGGTAGACGGGTGACATAGTGGATGGCGCACTCGCTTTCAGCAAGACGGGCGGGATTCGATTCCTTAGTATAAACCATATTTTATTTCGTAAATTTGCAATTACCATATACAGGACATTTAATTATTACATACATGAAATTGGATCCAGAAACAAGTTTTTAAACTTATATCAATCTGATTCCTTAATCGGATGTGAACTGCCAGATCAGGTAGGTTTTCTCCGGGTACTCCGGTTTCCTCCTACAATAAGACTCTATGCACTCTTCCAACAAAAGTGATAGATTTAAGTTAAAAATCTGTACCATGATCGTTGTAAAATGATGAAAGTTCATATTTTGATAAAGAGAT